TTCCCTCGACGCGTGGGGCTCTTCTTTGAGCTGCCTTTGTGTCTCTTCGATAACCCGGCGCTTCTCCTTGAAAAAGTCAGCCGACCGCTCTACGAAGGAGGAAAACCGGCTCTCCTGAAACTCCTCAAATTCTGTCATCCTCTTCTCCGCTTCCGCAGCCTGGTCATCGAAGCGCTGCTTGAGGAGCTCGTACCGGTCGTTTGAGACGCTGAGCTCACGGTTGGCAAGTCGCAGCTGTTTGGTGAGCTGCTCGATGAGGAGTTGCGTGCGGCTGGTCTCTGCGCCGTCGCCAGCAGCACAAGGGTCCGGGACACGGCCGCCGAGCTGGGCGTTCTCTTTGAGGGCACTGAGAAGCGACCGGACCAACTGCGCCGTGAGCGCGTCTTCGCTGCGGCCGTCGACGCCGAAGAGAGTCTGATCTAGGTGGCGCGTGTAGGCATCAAACTGAGCCTGCTTCTGAGCAAGCGCAGCAGCATGCTCAACATGGGCGGCGCGAAGAGCATTCTCCGTTGTCTTGAGAATCTCAGTCAGGGCGGCAATCTCTTTAGTGGCTGCCAGGTCGCGGGCCTGGGTGCCGAGAATGTACTGACGAAGTAGGGCATTCGACATGCCGCTTGGCTTAAGTTCGGGGGGAGTCTTGGGGGCCGCGAAGAGACGGTTGAGACTCTCTCTACTCGGGAACACAACGGGCCCAGGGAAAGGGGCGCCAGACGCTTTGGCAGGTTCGCGCTTCCTTTCGGGCATTGACATATGCTGGTTAGCCGTGGCGTTAGGCTCAAACACACTGGCCTTTGCAGCAGCATCGCGCACAGCGCCTCGGGCAATGTTCTGTTCCGCATTCAAGATGGGTTGCATCAATAAGTCACTTGACTTTCTGGTTTTTGCAGGCACAGCACCATCCACGTCAGCAGAAGGGCCTGCGCGACGGAACATGGCTGCCCACACTTCGTTTTGCGAGTTGCGAGCTCTGGCGAAGATGTCTTCGATGCTGCGAGGATGGTGTTCCTTCTGAGGCTGCCCGACAGACTTTTCCGAGATGCTGTTTTGCTTCGAGTCCGTGCCCTTGGGCTTCGCAGAAGCATGAATCGTAGGCAATATCTTGGAAGTGGCGGCATGGCGGAGAACCGCCTTAGGAGTTGCGTCGTATACATCATCGTCGCTGGTGCACCGCTCCACCGTTGCGTCACAAACGTCAGGGAGCCAATAGTCCTTCTCGGTGTCAACCGTCACCTTTGCAGGTTGCTTGGAGCCGCGTCGCAAGGCTATGGGTCGAACGGAGTGACTTGGCGAGGAACGCATCAACTTGATATCAGCCGGTGTCCTGTATTCAATTAGGGGCTCTGGCTCTGGCTGAGAATTGCCGACAGAGTTCTTCAAGACTGTGTTCGTGTTGCTCACCCGAGGCTTGAGGTTGCTTGGAAGGGCAGGATACATCGGGTTTCCATAGTACCCGATCACTCCAAGATACTCGTCAATTTCGGCCTGTTGCCATGGCGAAAGGACTGGGAGGCCGGCACTAGTCAGAGGTCCAGGAGAAGAGTGAGTAGGATCACCAGCAATACTACCGCGTCTAGGCTGACAGGGGTTCTCGTCCCAGACATGCTGGGCAGGCTGTGACCCATCATCAGCAGGCTGATCCTTTGCTTGAGGCTCGGGCTGCACTTGCAGAGCGTCCCCCATTCCGAAGGCGCACGTCATCGGAGCGCTGGATGGGCGGCATAGTACTAGGGACATGGGCTTCGGGTTCGAAGCGCCGAGGTCCAGCCTCGGCAGAAGAGTGATGTACAGGAGGCATGCCTCCAGCGGAGGACTGGATCATGCGTGCTGGCAGAAGAGAAGGCATCGAAGGGAGCGTCATGTTGCCCTGCACTTGAAAGACCTGACAGCCTTGGAAATGATGCTGCGGGCTCATACCAGACGGGTGGAAAGAGCGGTTCTGCGGACCGATACCGTCGATCAAGGGCTGAAGAGATTCTTGGGGAGGGTACTGGGGGTACTGCACGGGGCACTCGAGGTATTGAGCCTGGTTGTCGAAGGCAGACCAGCTGCTTTGGTTAAGGTTGCTTGCCATGGCTGGAGAGTGAGTGATAATTGTAATGAGTAGGTGGAAAGAGTCGAACATGGAATGATAAAGGAAGAGAGGCAAGATACTACGGGTGGCTCCAATGAAGCATATTTATGCTGTTGGTTGATCCCTCCGAGGCGCGAATGTGCAGCAGACGTCGATTCGCTAAGTGGAATCAATGCTTCTGAATCCGCAGAATGCGTTTGCGGGCAACTTTGTCCGGGAAGAAGAACGACCCACTGGCTTGACATTGAGTAATGTGCAGACGTGTCCCATTTCAAGCGATCCTTTCGAGCTGAAGCTTGAGCAATGCCATATTTCAGGGGCAGCTCTAGCTTGTAGAATCAATGATTCTGTGAGACCATAACTTTGTTGTCAATGAAGTAGTACACGGGCCAAGACCGTGAAGGACCAATGCACACGAGGTAGTGTATGAGTTTAGGTCAGTTGATAGGTTTATCAACGACGTTGTCAAGCGGACCATGTTCGTCCATCTTAGCGAGTTTAAAGAAAAAGTGCAGACCAGACAGTAGGTCCATGTGCCTCAGTGCTGCGCAATCGTATTTCCTTGTAAGAAGTATTCAGTGGTCGCCAAAAGCCATTGGCCTAAACCTCGAGGGCAGGAGATGTTGAAAGGAAGTGGCCCAAGTCATGACAAAGAGATCGAAACCATATAGCACGAAATACAAACCTATTGTCGGTCGCTGTGTGTCGTGTATTATGTAGCGTTGTTGTTAAGCAGCTTTTCTATTCTTTGTTCCGCTTATGAGGAGCATGGGGACCCCGTATACCTTTCTGCGTAGGTACGTAGATGAGATCAGGTCTTTGTACTTGTATGCCAATAGTTGATGCTGCTATTGAAGACAACTGGGCAGCGGATTCTGCAAAAAGATTCGGCCAGATGTTGCTGCAGGTGCTGAGTGAGGGAGAGATCCTAGATCATTGATTGTTGAAGGAACATCTACTCTTGTTATCATCTAGTTGGCTTCGTATCTCATCATGGCATTGTCGATGAAGATCATTTGTTAATGATATCGGTCCAGTCCTGGTTCTTAATCCATTCTTCAAGACTTGTCATCGGGCAATCGATGCCAGTCTGCTCATGTCAGTCAGTACACGTCCATGAGAACACTTCACCTCGCCTACAGAACTTACCTTTCTAATATCCTCCGCCCGCAGCAGATCCATGCCGCCATCATAGCCGGGATCGGTGGTGTATTCGAACATCAATGCAACCTCGATGCCGGTAGCCTCTTCTCCTGTAGCAGCCACCATTTCATCGAACGTGACCTGGTTGTAAGCGACGGGTTGACCAGTCAGCTTCCCCCAAGATTGGATCCACTCGGTCCAGCTGCACGTGGTTCCCTCGGCCATGTAGGCCTTGCCAGGCGGCATCTGAGACACGGCAAAGGTGAAGGACCCCATGTCGGCAACCGGGTCAAAGTGAGGGACCATACGGTCAGGCGCCGTGGTGAAGGACATTTGGAACGTGCCATCGGGCGCTGCAAAAAAAAACAATTAGCACGCACGAGGAATGGCAAATCAATGACTGAAATGACTGAGGTCGG